ATATGAACTTCTCGAACAAGGAATGGAACTCAAAATTATCCTGTGAAAATATAAAATATACCATGATTAATGGTGTTCTGCTCTACCAATAGTCAGTAAAAGAGGAAAATCAGACAAGAGACGAGAACACTCAAATCGCGGTGTAGGATATCGATTTGTCAAATGTGAACGCGCTGAATTCTGCTTCTGGTCTCAGTTTCCGAATTCGATGATCGTGATAGGAACCATTAGTGTTGCGTAATAACATGAATTTGAAAGCACTGGATGCTTTCTTTCCTGCAAATTAAAATTGGGATGGAGCGAACATTCAGTGTTTGAGTATGGAATCTGCAGCGCAAGAGGTCAGTTTTACATGCTTATTATTTTGTTTATTTAATTTCATGCCCTTTTTTTCAGTATATGTGCTGTCTCATGAATGCGTCGATAAAATATTTTTGTGATTTGTTTTGCAGATTTTAACCTATAAATTTAAACGCACATGATTTGCTGTGGAATGGGAAGATGTTTGCCTTCAGGAGAGGCAATCTCCATTCAACACAGCAGCCGAAAGATGTCTGTTTAACGGAACTTTGTTATCGAGTGCTCAATCCCGATCACCGCGAAGAAACAGTATTAATAGTTTTATTGATTAGTTTAAGCGCATTAATTTTAGTTTTAATCTGTAATTTATACTTCTTTATTTAGATTAATTAATTTTTTTGTGCATACTTTTGGTCTGTTTATAGAATTTTACATGTTTTGTTTCTTGTGATGTGTTGTTCTTTTCATATATTCTAATTTCTGTATTTCTTTTTTTAACTCGGGAATTGTAAATATGTAGTATCTTTATATGTATGTATCTTTTGTATGATGCAAATGTGTAGGTTTTTTGTACATTAATATTGTTTGTACACAAATTGTCTTAGCTCTGTTGTTATTGCTCACTTATTGTGTTTATGAATTTGTTCAGTTGTGATTAATGTTATTTTAAAATAAATTTTCCCAAGAAGCAGTCGTACACAAATGGCATTTAAATTATTTCACAACGTACACTACTTAGAAACCGAAAATTTTTTCTTTTCCGAGCATTTTAAATGAGATCTGTAGATATGGACGATCTTTACTAGTATCCGATATACATTGACTTCAGTCCCGAATACCATGTAAGCTTAGCTCTATTTTGTGGTTCCAATTCATGACGGTACTGAAGTTGCGAAAAAATAGATTACGGAAGTATTTATTTTTCTACAATAGTTGAGAATGGTACTTGTTAACGCTAATATCATTGTGAAATAAATATTATATCTGTGATTATTATGGGATAAATTTATACTGGAAAAATTTAGTTGCTTCCGTTTCAGTAATATTCAGCTTAGGTTTTATAATCGTTATTTTGCTCACTTTCAACTGCAATTTTACGCAAGAAAGTCAGTGTCAATTTGTGTAGAAAGCTATTTTCATATGACATCTCGTCATCTTCCATTACTGTCGTTTATGAATTATAGGCTGCTTTATCATTTCCAGGACTAATATATATTGAAGTTTATTATTTATAAATCTCAGAAACAATGAGATAATGAAAACAAGCAATTTACTGATTTGTTGAGAGACAACTTTCATGCTTTTAAATATAATAAAAATATGTATCTAGTATATTCTTGGAGATAATTTTCTGAAGTTTTTTCTATCTTTCCGAACTTTATCGTCTTAGCATTTCAAATGATGGCCTGTCATTGAAATCAGAAAGATTTAAATTTTTCAGAAGTTACCTACTTAATTTTTCAGAAGTTACTTACTTTTTTCAGAAGTTACTTCTCTTACTTTGCAGTATATTTTTAGTTCAAATAGTAGTTAATAATTTCTAATGATTGAAAGTAGTACTACGAAGACTTATTTGAATCATAATCATGTAGTTTGAGTGAAGAAAGAAAGAAATAGCATAAAACAAAAAAAGCAGTAGTAACACTCTATACGGATTGCAAAAGGCAATTTTCCAAATTTTAAAATTTAATTTCAGTTAGTATTGTTTTCATCGTTAAACTTAACAGCACCAAGTTATTTGTGGACTTCAAAAAAACCTTTTTACGTCCTAACCAAAAGTTTCAAATTATTTTATATAGAGATAAATGCTTTATTTTTTAATATTTCAAGACTTTTAACAATGTACCGTTTGTGGAGATGTGGTGTTAGATATACTATACAATTATAATTTCGAAAGTGACACATTTGTTCAAATAAAAAGGCATTTTATATCAAATTATTTGAATAGACATGGCAACAATATCAATTTATAACAATTGCAATAGTTGTGATTTATGAAAATTGAATCAACTTAGGCAGTTGCATACTATAAATTTTAATATGAAATGATTGAAGCAGAAAATAAAAATAAATTTTGTATGATTTAATGCAAAATTCAACTTTTAACTTGATGATGGGTGTTTCATGACTATTTTTGTATACTTGCATTGGTCAAACAGTATTCACTGTGTATTTAGCGATGCAAGAATTTCATTTCTTGTTTCTTCTTTCAATGCTGCAATTTTTTAAATTCATAAAGCATTCATTAATTTAAATATTTCAGTAAATGGATAGGCAGTATGAATCGATTTAGAGAAAGAAAAATAATCAAAATTATAAACATTTATCATACTAATTTTTACAACTTATTTATGTTTTTTTTGACAACAAGTTATTCTTTATAATTTTTAATTTAAAAATAATAACAAATATAAACAATAGATGTTTATAAAAAATTTCAATTTAATTTCAAAGAAATTTATAAATAGAAATTATTATTAAAAAAAAGTATTGTTATTAAAAAAAATAATGCTGTATTCATTGAATCATTTTAAAATTGAATTTTTGTAAAAATCAATAAGTTTCAGGGCAATTTTTAGAATTTATGTAAATTATTCATTCTTATTTTAACTCTTCATTTTTTATTTCTTATTTTTTAATGATTAATCAGTATGTTTAAAAATTTTTTTCTTTATTATATAATCTTCAATTTCAATACTAAAGCACATTTTAGGTCAAATTATGGGTACAGATTAGATATTGCTAAATACATAAAAACAAGTTTTAGCGCTGTTTATAAAACTCATTTCAGTTAAAAACTTGTTTAATTATATATGAAAAGGCTGAAAATTTCTCGTTTTATGTAGTAATGAATGATCAAATAAATTTATTAAAAATACTATAATAGGTAATGATATGAAATTCACTTTTCTTTTTAACAAGTGATTATAATGGCAAAATAATAACTTACAGTCCATAATATTTTTAATTTTTTCTCGTTTTTGACTATCGTTCAAATTTGGATCATCAGCAACTGCAGACATTTCAGCATCAGCTTTTTTTGCATCTGGTGAAAATTTAGCAGTCACTGCTTGATGAGCTTTTTCATAAGATTCTTTTTCTGCTTTTACTTGCTCTCTAAATTTATCTAACTGACTCTGAAATTTACATATTATTATTAAATAGCAAGCAATCATATTATCTAAATGAATTATTCTATTTTCGTTTAAATGTAACATTTTGCAAAATTATTTTCTATTGCAATTTCTAGCAGATTCATTTGCTTTTGGCATCTTTTGTTGCGTATTTTAAATTTTTGCATAATTAATTTGAAAAAATGTTTTATATCCATCTTTCTAGCGTTTTGTGATGACACGAACTATTAAATATGTAGTGCTAATGTGTAGAGACTGAATAAGAAAATGGCAAAATTATGGAAAAAAATTATAATAGCTACAACAAATTAAGTAAAGCGAATCTGCAAAGTTTTATCAATTTAGAAGCTCAAGTGGCTTAATACTTAGCAAATGCTTAAAAACTGATTTCAATAATATGGAATTAAACAACAAAGGTAATGGACGCTTGACTTTGAACACTTTTTTGATTTTAATAAGTTTTCCATTTTTCTCAAACTGCAATAATTTAATGCAATCAACATATTAATTTCAGCGTAAACATGAAATATTGTAATTAATTTGGAGCATTCCATTTTCATAATCACAACTTCATAGTTTATGTTGCAATTAATTTAAGTTTCATTAAAAAAATAGAAATTAAAGTACAAACCTTAAAATTACCACCAAGACCAACAACAAATTTTTCGACATCAGCATCAATTTGTGCCTCAGTTTTTTGTTCATCTTTTTTTAATAAATCATAAAATTCTTTAACAACTGCATCTGAAGCACCAGTTAGAAATGGTGGTCTATTGAGTTCTTGACCTATCACTGTGACAGCTATTGCAGTAATTGTAAATATCAGAAAGTAATTCATACTTGCTTTTAGCAGCTTAAAATCACAACTAATAAATGCACTGATAAAATTTCTACTTTGCATAATTCTTCTATCATTTTCATCTTTATATATAAGTGAGAAAAACTTGAGAAAGTTAAAAATATCGTCGTAAAATGGTAGAAATAATTTAAGTAGGAGGAGTCGGAATCCATCATGTGTATTCAACATTTTCCCATCACCAAATTTTTTTTCGCAATTTTCAGGAATATCAGGTGAAGGGAAAAGAGTTGATTTTGCTCTATATTTTCAAAGAAAACTACAAAGAATTCTCTTGAATAAAAAAAAATGTTTCTGGCAATATTTTTTCCAACAAATTCCTTCTTGTAACTATTATAAAATAGGGCTATTCATATTTGTCCACTTTTACTTCCCCACTTTTAATTTGACAAAGCATAGTATTTCTTTTTTATTATGAACTTTGAACTTTGAAGGAAAAGAAAGATTTTATGCCAGTTTATCAAAGTATAATTGAATTATTTTGAAGTAGTATAATTACGTAAATGGATAGTTATCATGATCATAGTGTAAAAAAGTATTTGGTGATTACTTCTCGATTATTACTGTCAAAGTATATAGTACTGAGTTGTGTGGGTGTCAAATAGTACTTAAGCTCATTTACTTGTTAAATTAGTGATTACTTTTTTGCTAACAATTTTTCCATTGTTTGTGACCTTGAACTATTATTTTTTCATTATAACATTGTTCAGCTAAAAAAATTTTGATAATTATATTAGCAGTTAACTGAATTTTTGCATTTATTAAATGTGAAGCACTACAAACTCTGAAATGTTTAACGGATTGAAATATTTAAAAAGTTTGCAAACGTTGAAGTTGTAGTATCAATGTATATTTCTAATATCATAAAATAACACTCAAGCATGGAATACATAGTACTTTTGACTTCAAAAGAAAACTTGTTTTTTTAGTGTAAAGTTTTTTCACCAACATCATTCTTAATTATTACCAAATTTATAACTATAAAATTGGTTTGTAAAAAACAGTATATTATTTTTGATTAGTCAAAAAAACAGACAGAAACAAAATCAAACATACATAAATATAAAAACTTTAGCAAGAAATCAAAAAAAAGTTATCTATTACAATTAAATTGCAGTAATAAACTTAATAAAAAAGTTATCTTGCAAAAATGTTCACATAAAAAAGTATGCAAAATTATAGCTGACAAAAAATTTTTAATGCAACAAATTTCAAAATTTGAAAAATATTCTAGCTTAAAGATTTATAATTTTCAATGGCATCTTTGAACAAAGCTGTAAAATTTTGAATTGTTAATCTAGTAATGTAAGCATTAATAAAAAGAAAAATAAATGCATACTTAATTACGTACTAATTTTGCATAAACAATTAAAATTTTGCTTATTGCCAAGTAATTTATTATTCGAAAGATGTAATTTTTATAGTATAATGATCAAATTTTTTCTCTCTTTTTTCAGTTTACAACAATTTTTCACGACAATGCTGTGGATGAGATAGAAAACCAGTTTATTTCAACTTTCGTTACACATTATTTCTGCAACGATTAGAAGCAGCAAATGATTTTGCCTAACTTGTCGATTACTTCAATCATTTTGATAGTGATTTTATTGACAAATATTAAGATAAATTACAATTCAAAAGCCAAAAACTTTTTTTATTGTGGGATCAATTATCAGATTTTTTATTTAATTGTTTTACAAGGAGGAAAAATGAAATGCTGGCAATGACTTTGCAAAAAAATATTCATATATTTAATGTGTTTACAAAAATCACTTTTTTCAAGGACATTTTCAATTAAAAGAATTTATTTGAATTAAAAAGTTAATAAAATTAAACTAAAAAATTTGATTACAACTGTTTAATTATGTAAGCTATGATTAAACTCCAATGCTTACATTATTAGATTAATATCAGTGCTGAAATGCTCATATTTCAATAACAATAATTTTTATTAGATCATTTTTGCACTACAAAATCATAATTAGATCATTGGAAAAACGGTTATTATCAATTTTGTGAGTTCATAACATGCAGTCACGCATTTGAAGATTTTATCCCGTTATTCAGAATTTAATTGCATTATATTTTTACATTACATACGTTTTTTTTTTACAGAACAGATACTAACTGTAATTTGATGCTGCCTAACTTTAGAAATATAATTTTTTTTGAAAATTTCACAAATGAATTATTATACTTAATTTACAGCTGCTCAAAAAATTGTAAGTTTAGCTTGCAATAATGAGATCTATAAATTTTGCTTGACAGATTTTCAGAACAGATTCCAAACATTCCATTTAGAACATCCAACTATTGAAAATAAATGTAACATAGAACTGCAATGATCATTTTGTTATATTTAGCCATGTTTCAATGCATGCAAATAATAAGAATGTTATCAAAAATGCTGAAAATAGGTAATATTTTACTAAAATTGAAACTACACAAATCGTATACTGAAGAAAACTAAAAATAAGTTGCAAGACAAAAGTTGAATAATGTAAAATTAAAATTGTGCTGTTAAATAAAAGTACCGTTATGAATCACTTTCAAAAGCATTCTTGTTTTAGGTAAAAATTACCAAACAAAAATTTAACTTTCTATTGATCGTTACATATTGCATTAAATTTAGACTTATTTGCTTCTAACATAGACTTCAGATTTTATTTTTAAAACTATAATTTTAATAATTGAATAATAAGCTTACTTTATAGCTTTTCAGTGCTTCGCAAAAAGTAAATATGGCGTGAAAAATGCTATGATAATTTTTTTTCATTGTTTGATTTTGTAGTGGAAAGTTTGGAATTCATCAAAAAAAGCACTATTGAGCAGATTAAAAAGTTTCCAGAATCTTTATAAATTTTTATCCTTATCAAAAACAGAATCATGACCACTGTCACGATTTTTGCTGATTACAAATATGACAATCAGTTGCGAAATTTTTGAGACCTTCTCCAAATGTATTTCAGAGCCAGGTCATTAGTGGGATTCAACTGACCAAACAAATCTTTAAACCTTAAACTTCAGCAAAATCTAAAAGTAATTCACTAAAACACTGAAATTTGTAGTCGTAACATAGTACATTTGCAATATATAACTAGATTAAACTTGTATTGAGACTTGTAAATTTTAATAACAGCAAAAAGTTGATCTGCCTTAAAAACTGCATGATTTTACTTTGCTTCATAATCGACATACTTTTACTCTTGTAGTCATTACTCATATTTGCATTTTTATTAAAAATTAATCATCAAATACTGAATTTTTAAAAAGTTGGTAGAAGATTAAACATATTTCTTAAATAATGAATTTCAAATCCTGAATGAAGAATGAATATTATAACATGAACCGTGAAATTTTCAGTTGTTCTACACTTCTTCATGTTAAAAAAATGTTTTTAAAAGTAAAGTAAATTTGTGAATTGAAAAAAATTATCTTTAGTTTGATTTAAATGCATGTAAGGTTGCTTGCAACATTAACAGTACTATACCATTTATTTTAAACAAAGGTTTGATATTCTTACATACACATATATATATAAAACAAATTCATATGAACTTTATCTAAAGTTAAGATATTTAAAAAAACTTATAAAATTCCATTATTTGTTTGGAATTGACACAGGTATTAAAAATTGCTTGCATGATATTCATCCTTGCATTGTGTTCTGTAACTCTTGTTTGACAGCATCCGAAATACCTGAAAATATTTGATTTCATTTATCAGCAAGTAAATGAACACATACTAAACATAAAACTTACACAGTATCAACTTTTGAAACGTATGAAATTCATAATATGATTCTAATATATAATCCATATAATAGAGTTTCAAAAATAAGAGGGAAACTTTAATGAGATACTTGATAAACTTTTGATTTGAACAATTCATAAAATGATAATAATTCAAAGTATGATCTTATGAATAATTTTAAAACCATTTTGCAAAATATTACCCTTTGACATTGAAATATCTATGAAAAAATTATTGAAAATGCTATTAAGATAAGAAAAAGTATCAGTGGATTGGAGATAACATTATTTACTACATAAAAGCTTATGTTGTCATCATTATTACTTCTTTTATTATTATTGTTATTATTACTATCAATAGTAATATTAATACTAATATTAATATTATTATTATTATTATTATTGTTATTATTATTACTATTACTATTATTATTGATATTATTATTACTACTAAGTATTATTATTATTATCGTGCATAGATGAAAAATAAGATGAGTTTATGAGTATGAAATGCAAATTAAATAAACCTTCAGTAAATGAAATTATTTAATACAAAAAAAATACAGATGCTTACCTGCTAGGATTTGTTGAATTTGTTGTTGTTTTTGTCGACCGGTAAGTGTGCTACTAGTAGCAATTGCAGTAAGTTGCGCATCAGCTTGTCTTGCTGCAGGTGATAGGCTCGCAATTGCAGTCTGACGTTGTTGCTCAGCTTGTTTTGCAGCTGCTATAGCCTCTTTTTTGAATTTGTCAAAAGCTGCCTGTAATTTTAACAGTTTCAAAACAATAATAGCAAACTTTTCTCTTACTTAAACTGTAATGCTTTTGTAATAATAGACTACGGTCTAAACTTGGTAATATTAAAAAATTGTTTGCCTTCAATAATTACAACTATTGCATTCGAATAAATTACATAAAATATTGAAAGTAAGCTTACTTTTACAGTTGCGGATTGACGAGAAATCCAATTTTCAATTGCCTGTTCCATTTGCATATCAGTTTTATCGACAGCAGTTAGAAGTATTTGGTGAAAGTCTTGAACAACAGCTGCTGGTTGCCCTATTAAAAATGGTGGTACCATATTCTGTTGAGCGATACAGTATGCAACGAATAAGCTAATTAATATAAATACCTTCATTGTTGATGCTGAAAATTCTATTACGTGTAATAAGCATAATACTGTAAAAAACCAATTTAAATAACGCATCATGTCATCAAATACCAAATATGAAAACTAAAGTTATACAAAGTGTCACATCGAATATTTAAATAAAATAAGCTACAAAATGAAAAGTAATGATATAAATAATGTGTTAAAGTCAAACCTAAGCAAAAGTAAATTTTGAAAAATGTAAAGGTTGACTGTAAGTAATGAAGGTTTCAGATGACGGTTTATATGTACCACAAATGAGGTGTTCATAGGGTGAAGAGTGAGAATTATTAGCCGAATAAAGATAGATGTTTTCCTACGTATACGTGTACACGCATGTCTGTTTATGTATGTGTGTTCTCATCTATATACTTGTATTTCTTCATTTCACCGCGGGTTTTTATTCCCGAGTACTGGAAGGAAAGAGAAACCTTTCAATCACAACATACTTCTTTCTTTTTTACAAATCAAAAATGATACGGTCTTGTTTTCTTTTATTTTTTTTTACTCAATAAGTACTTGCGGAAAAATAAATTTTGAGTTTTCTCCTTCACAAATTTTTCTCCATCTTTGAGTTTATGCACTCTTCAAGACAAATTTTAGGTACAGAAGAGAAGAAAAAATGATGCCAGAATTTGTTAAGTTTTTATTGCAAAATTCTGTGTGTTTATTGCAAGGTAATTATGCATGGACAAAGAGAAAAGTAACTAAAGTAACTAATTACTACCTTTTTTATCTCATTAAAATCAAAATAAATGTCTTCTGAAGAAAACTGATGTGATTTTATTTGCTAAATCTTGTTTTCTACTTCTGTTATACTCTTTAATAGAAGTATGACTAATCTTTCAAACAAAAGTATTTAGCAATTAAATTCAATGAAGATAGTTTATTTCTTAGCGAAAACAGAACGAAAAAATAAGATTCACATTATGTTTGACCTGAAACTTTGGCAAACAATTATTCACATCGCTTACTCATATCACATCTAAATTCTGACCAGTTTGGATAAATTTTGTAATTTAGCTTATTTTTTGTTGTAAAATAAGTAAGTAAATAAATAAATAAATAATTTCTGTAGTAATCCTTAAACACATCTTTTTTTCTATATTACTTTTTCAAATTCACCTTTTTTATTTAGAAGAGAATACTTCATTATCATTCAGATTCAGTACAAATAATTACTCTAAAAATGATAACTGATTATGCTAAATGACTGAAATTTTAATTTCAAATTTGCATTGTAATTTTTCATATTTCTAATGAGTAATCAATCCTTCATTAGTCAGACATTTTTTCGCGAAAAAATCTTAAATTTAGTCCTTTTTTTGCTTCATTTACCATTTTTTGACAATTTGGCAGATGCACCCTACTTTTTAAATTGACTTGTTTTAAATGAATCATGTTTGAATCAATTCATTTAGATGAATCATTCGCATCTGTTTTTCTTTTTGATCTTTAATTATATTTTTATTGTATCTTAAAACGACATTACATTAACTTTCAAATTTACTATTGATATTAATCTGTTTTCTTATCAAAAACTTTTTGGTTGTTGTAGACTAATCAATCATAAAATTTTTATTATTTGTATTTGGTGTTTATATGTATACTATGTAATTATTATTTTAAAGCTAAATAAAATCAATAAATCAAAAAAATATTAAAAAAGTAAAAAATTTACAAATAATGTGATAAAACAATAAATTAATTCCCAATATATTTAAATAAAAATAAGCATAAAAAATAAATAGAAAAATATAATATGCATTGGGAGCGTTTTTTATTCTAATTGGTCTTTTGACAACCAAAAATAGCTATGTGATATCAGTGCTGGAAAATGATGAAAAGAAAAACGCCGAGTTTCTCATTTTTTTTAAATTTGATGTGTGAAATTTTTAATATCAAATATCGAAACCTGACTGAAAATGATAGCCCATTACAGTTTTGTTTAAAAATAATGTACAGTTCAGATTCTCTCAACAAATGTCTTCTTTTAAAAATGCAAAACGATGCAATAACTATGATTAGAAAATGATAGAAATATTATTTTCCAATTATATTTTTAAAGTTTTTATTTCATATTGTTGATAGAATTTGAATTTCTACTTTTTAATTTTTCTTTTAATCAACAAATTAAATTTGATAATTATCAGTATTTTCTAGAAAAATAACATTTCAAGTTTGCAAAAATTATAGTGAAAAGATTTTTATTTTCTTATTATATTTTTCTTAAAGTCTCTGAAACTTAATTATTTTTTCAAAAATTTTTTCCAATTTATTTGTCATTTTCCTATTTTTATGTTCAAAAAATTATAACTTGTTTATTGGTACTTATAAAAGTTCAACAGAATATTGTTAAAGGATGATGTCATGCTTTAATTTTTAGACACTTAAATACAGCATTTTTCTGACATATTTTGGCTTCATTCTAATATAATTTAAGTGCAATGCGTTTCTGAATTCAATAATTTGGCATCAATTTTGATAGACTCTTTTTATTATTACCGTCCAAGCGAATGTAGATAAAAATATCATCTCATCAAAACTTCTGACTTGTATATTGTTGTGAATGCAAATTAAGATATTTATTTTATCAAAACTCACCAGTTTGCTCATTTATTGACTTGTGTTCTATTATTGATCCCATAAACTGCACTAAAAATCAATTTTGCATGAAAATAAGAAGTATTTACTAAAAATTCTAAATTCTAATCATTACACTGCCATTAATGCATGTTGACATTTCAATCTTGCTAACAAAAGATCAGTTAGCTATTAATATCAAAAATTTACTCACATTTGATTATCTCTAATTTTTCTTATCAAAAGCATTACAAATTTTAAGTTCAAGAATTTTAATAATTATTCCTATCCTTCTTTTACTTTTTTCATCATATGAGCAATTTTTCGCATTTTCATTCTTTCACCGATCCTTCAATTCATTTTGTTCTCAGTATTAATTACATTTTCTTTCAACCTTTGAATATTAATCTAAAAAATATGGTTTCATTTAAAAAAAGCTTTGAGTCAAATTGATCACAACATACAATTTGTTTCTTTTTTTTCGTAAAAATTTTTTTCTCGTGCAAAATCTTATAGTTTTATGATTTAAAATATTCGCAGGGCTAAATATTTGAAAAATAATTAGTTCTCGAAAAAATATTTCAATAATTTGATGAAAGCAAAAAAGTAATCAGTGCTTAAATCTAATGAAAAGACCCATTTTCTTTTTCCTGATAGAATTAAACAATTTTAAATCATTATTAAATAACAAATTTAACTAATTTAACATACTTCATAGAGATTAAAAATAAATTGTAAAACGTAAAATAGCTAAAAAACAAAAGTAATGATAGTGATAATCTGCGTTTACCTTGCAACCATGCAAATCGTCATTTTCGTACAATTTTCAAACAACTTTTTATTTTTGTTAAAAATATTGAAAAAATATAAAAGATATCAAGAAAATTGGTTAAGTGATATATTTTCTCTAAAAACAATGACATGGTGATGAATTATGATAATGAAGTTTGTTATCAATTTTATTTTTGCAAGATTGATAAATGCAAAGAAAATGAATGAGAAATATGAATAAAAATACTTATCAATTACTTATAAAATTAATTTCTTATCAATTACTTTTAAATTTAATTTTGCATTTTTATACTTTGATTGAAATAGTCATTTTTCGTAGCTAATGATGCAGTTTTCTAAAATTATAAATAAAAATATTAATAACATTATTAAATAATTGAAAGCATATTTTGACGCTATAGCTAGCAATAACAATATGATCAGCCATGTAATTTAAGGTGATTTGTGAGGAAATCTATGGTACCTGCTGTACTAGTAAGCAATAGTCATGAAAGCATCGCTAAAGTGAAAAATGCTAATTTCGCATATGATACGGAATCATAAACGGAAAAAAAGCTCAATGTAGCGAAGTAGTATCAGCATGTTATAATGAATGAGATAACGCAGTTCATCACATTAGTAAACTTTAATATGGCAAAGTATGTTATTAATAAATTTTACGAAACATTTTTGCTATGAGAAGGCGTAATATTTACTGATAATGTTTATTTACTTAAACATTCCTTTAATTAGAGTATGGTATAGAAACTAAATAAGGTGAAGGTTCGAAAATAAAAAGTTATGCATTACGGTAATTATTTATTTTATAGCAATTTTTAATAAAAATTCCATAAGTAAGCGAGTAAATTTGTTCTGTCGGAATTCACATCTTGTGTATTAAATAAAAGCAAAAATATTATTAAAAAACTTCTTAAAATGCAAATTCATTTTTTTTAGCTAATTGATTTGAGATTCATTCTAGTGCAAATTGTGCATTTAAAAAAATGATATAATGAAGTGATCATAGATAGAGTTCTTTTTATTTATTACAAAAATAAAATTTAGAGTTTTTCAAATATTAAATTGCAGATTTACGGCTACGGAATGGCACTATCGATAATCGTTACTACAACTACGATATTTTTCACATGTCATTTTACAAATTCAGAAGCGAAGAATCTTAGTTGCATTGAAAATGAATAGTAAAAAGATTCAAAGGGTAGTTCCTTATCTCAGCATAAATTAATCATTGCATCTTAAAGTGTTCGATAAAATATAAGGCTATTTATGGGTCAAAGTTGTAGTACAGTAATAGGCAAAGATGGCAAATGATTTTCTCATAAAGTTGTGGAAATATTTCGCGTGTTATCAGCTACTCTGATGATTGCTTTCTTTTTTATACTAGTGATGATTTTGTTATTGAATATGACAGAATTTATTTGGTTTAGAATCAACTGCTTTGGGAAAGTTAGGGATATTGCTGTAAGTGCTATCTATTTATTTCGTTAAATGAACAAAAATGAAAAACAATAAATATTACTCATTTTTGAATTCAATGTAAAGTCGGAGTGAGATGTGATTAAAAAATAAAGCAAATTATATAACCAAAAAAGATTTATTAGCAAAAATGCTGAACGTTTAAAATACCAATAAAGTAACTTTACGCATGAATTTTTTCTTAACTGCATGTATTTACAATTTTGATTGCTGAATTTGTTAACTCCAATATTTAGAAATATTTGAAACTTCAATTTGATTTGCATCCAAAGGTTGGTAGAAAGGACTGCATCAAAAATCAAAAAAATGATGAGCGAAAAAATGTCAAATATGCAATTTTTGAAAATAACAGATTGAAATTTTTTCATTTTTTAAATTAAAAAATTTCGACCGCTTTTTTAATCAGCATAATATAAGTGATAAATACTGCCAATTGCTTCATTTTACTATAGAGCGAGAAATGTACATTTGAAAGAGCTAAAGTGAAGAATTTATGTAATCGAAGGTCAACGACGGCGGGTCATGATGTTTGGAGTGTTCATCTGAATTATCCTAATCGTCTTTTACGATGAAAGGTTCTTTTTAAGGGGCATTTTAACCATATTTGATAGATCATTTTTATCATTGTAGTAGGTTTATAAGCCATATCAAAATAACATTATTCAGGACATTTTATATGTGCATGCATAGCATGTTTGTTTTGAATGTCTGCATTGTATAAGCTCATATATATGTGTAATCATGTCCAGCAGATCGGAGGTTAATCTTCTTTTCTGTCTTGGTCTCTCGTTGGATCGTATTCCTACCCTCTCGCTGTACTCTTCCGGTAAGCAATTTCGCTAGTTCCGGTGCACTGGTCGAGCGCTTTCCTTCACGGGAAAAAATCTCTTGTAAAATATCCTAGAATTTATTTTTTTCTTACGCAATTATAAATCTTTAATGAATCTCCTATGAATTTTCAATAATTACGGAGCTTTCTTCAACTATCTCACCTGTTTTGCATTTGTTTTCATTTATGATTCCAGATTCGGTTTTTTTTCGTTTATCCTTCATTTCCTGCTTTTCTACTTCCTGATGCGATTTGACTAGTTGGCCACTCAACCGATCAGCAACTTAGCAGAGTCGAGCAATATGTATTTGGATGCTAATCAAATTGATGTCCCAAGTATTTCTAAATACTGGAGCTAACAAATTTAGTACTTATTTACGCAATTGTAAATTGTTTACTACTTACTTACTTGTTGGAGCAAAATTGACTTCTCATTGCTCGGACTCATTCTCAACATTTGTGTTGCCAAGTAAGTCAACCTTACACATTTTCACCATTGCCTAAAATTTGACTTTAGCTACACAGGAATAATCAAAAATGTCTTATGAGACAAAAATCTATTATGAATATAGTTTGGATTTGTCATTATTCGTCACTCTAATTGCTTCATTTACTTTTGAAGAACTGCAATAAAACAATTTAAAATTGATATTTGCAGTTTTCTAAATACTTTCAAATTCATCTCAAATCTTAATAATAATCTCATATGACATTTTTTTTCTAATAAATAAATGACTCGTATGTATAAAAATATCCTAGAATTTTTTTCATACTTTTAATGAATCTCTTATGAATTTTTTTTCAGTTAGAAAATTTTCAAGTTTTGTTAAAACATATGCTTTTATTTGTTATGAAGAATAGTTCACAATTCTTGATAGAATTTATGAATGATTTTCCATGTGAAAGAATTTTAGGTTATGCGTAAAACGTAATCATTAGGCGGTAGAAATTGAAGTTATCATTAAATTGATAAGGAATAAAAACAATTCTAACAGTAATAACGAGTATTGAAGTTTATATTTTAGAATTAACGAATGTTATTATGCTGTTAATGTTTTCATTACCTGAACGGTATTAATTGAGCTCAAAAAGATATTTTTTGCTTGTATCAATATAAAAAATTATAGCTGATATTCTTTATTTATTGAAAGTATTAAATAATCAGAACATGCAGGAATAAATAATGCTTAAAAAATTTCACAGTATTCTCTAGACTCATTTTATCAGTCTTAGTTGGCACAAGTTTAGCTTCAAACTTTCCCCAATTTTTCATTCTTGAATCATTTACACATTGTTCTAATAATAAAAAAGGATTTTAATAAATAATTTGCTTGCAAAAATTAGGCAAACAGCTAGTGAAAACTGAATTAAAATTTATGTTTTTTAAGCAATTATCTGCTCTTATATGAACAATTACTTGATGTTTATATTATTGCCAAATAATTAATGCATATATATAATTTTCCAAACGAATTACTTTCAGATGTTACTTACAAAAAAGAAGCAATATAATTTTGCTGAAAAGGTTGCTGCAGCGTATGTAAACTAGAATACATTTTTATTTTATACTTTAACAAGGATTTAACCTATGAATAGATTGTTTTAGTTCGGCAAAAGTGTAATAATAATTGTTGAAAATTAATAATAATTTTTACTTTGTTTACATGAAATGGTGCAGTTATTAAAAACCCTTTTTGTCTGTTTTTTATTAATTTTTTGGAATGTTGCATTAAGTTTTTTGATGCTTATTTTTTAGCTGCAATATGAATTGAAGTGCTATCCTTCACATAATAACAAATATCTCTAAATTAAAGCACAAAAATTGAGAACACTTTTGCTTGGGCAATTTAAAAAATTGACTTTACTAAAAGCTTTTTTATAACTTCAAAAATTATTAAGTGAAGGATAGTACTTGAATTCATATTGCTGTTAAAAAATAAGTTCAAAATTTTAAAAGCCTTCTAGGATGTTGAATTAAGTTAACTTTCTTAAGCACTTTATGAAAGCATACAAAATATCAATGCGATCTAAATAAAGAAATTTGTTAGCAATCGTGAGGCAAATTTTAGTTCAGATCTAATCTATACAAAGCATTTTCATTTGAAAAATAGATTTTTTCCAGTTATTAACTTGAGATATAAGTTTCTTTTTTTTTTTGAATTTTCGTTTGTTTGTTTTTTAAATTGTAGCAAAGTCCAATTACTATTTTTTATTGAAGAAATGGCATTTACAATAAGTTCTTAATAGATGGATCAAATCTTTAAGGATATACACAATAATTCAAATAAATTCTTCCAATTTTCATAAAGTAAAAAGTAAAATGTATTTAAACATACATAACATAGTAAAAAAAACAAAAAAAAAAACGTTTGATTTTTGCATTTGTTTGTAATAAATCTTTTAATTCTTCAGATTTTCGGGCATGTAAAACCATTTAGATTCCAAAAAACAGAATAAATAAAATGAAACATCACTTCCAATCTAATTTGAATCATATTTATTCTTTTCACTTAAAAACTTCCATTTAATAGCTAGCTTTCTGTCTAATTGCAATTTTTAAGCTTAAAAAAGAATTCGTTTCTAACTTATATTTGATCATTTATTTTCCTTTTCGTTATCCGTCACGAGCAGAAGAAAGCCAAGCCAAATAACCAAAACTTGCAAGCTTGGTCTATTTGCTTTCATTTCTTAGCTAATTCTTACTTGACTATAAATATGCTTGAAAATTGAGTTATGTTTCAGATTTGCAGATTTCAGCATTATTGCATAAAGTAAATAGGAACTTTGTATGCACATCTCTATTTTGCATCTTCCCTTTTTCAACTATCTTTTTTTTCTTTTCTTGCTTAATTACCTTTTATATATGCCAAAATTAAAAATAAATAAATAAATAAAAGAAAAGAAATTAGTTCCAATATTTTAGCACTACAATGGTGCTTCATTGGTTTGCATCGATGAATCGATACAAAATAGTTAATGATAGCTTCTTAGAACATTCTGAATGGCTTCGTAAGCTACAAACTCCATCACTGATTGTGATTGGTAGATTTTTACTTCATGAAATAAAAACAAATTTTAAAAATGAATTGATTACAGTATTTTAAGAAATCAAATATTATATATATTATGAAAAAAAAATACATATTTAAAAAAAAGCGTTTTCAGTAAAATTATCTGAATACAAGGTCTTATTTATAGTCTGGCAAATATTGATTAAAAATTATTAGTATAGTTTTATTCAATAATCAAACATTTTGTATTTTATATTAGTTCAGATTTTTTTGAATTAATAAAAAATTGCTGCCAAGTGAGCAAAGAGACCAAAAACTTTTAAAATTATTTTTCAATACTGTAACAAAAATTACGCAGTAACGCACAATTTATTATTTTATTTTAAGCTTCTATTTTGACCGTACCATTTGGTTTGTTCATAATTATCCCTTACACAGTAAATAATATATCTGGTCCATCAGCACTACTATCATTATTACTTGCATTAATTATAATGATTTTTTCAGGTAAGCGATTACTATAACAATTATCATTTGTAAAAAAGATTAGAAAAAATATTTGAAACTTTTTCGAAAACCTCCAATTTTTGTAGAGTTTGTAGAATCAAAAATACACGCAAAAACAAAAACCAAATACTAAGTTTTATTGATTTAGATATTTCTACCCTAAAATCTTCACAAAATTTAATTTTTCATCAAACAAACAAGCTGATTAAGATTATTTTTCAATATTCTGTTAGATCTTCAACCAAAAGAAAAAAATAATTATTTTGATAAGCCATTTAAATGAGCATTAGTACTTTCATTTAAAAAAACCTATAATAATTGGATAAACACTTAGCTTTCTTAAGGTATGCACATGAACGAACTAATATGTTCCATGCCCAAAAGTTGTCTGCTATATAATTTTACATATGTATGTTTTGGAGAATTATCAGCTTTCATCATTGCCTGGATATCGCTTTTACATTTTATCATTTGTACGGTTATCATTGCGAAAAATCTGAGCAGTCATATGGTATAATCTAAAAGCACCTTTTTTTTAAATTTTTAAAAATTTTGTATAATAATATAATCAATCACAAAGTATTGATCACTTATTATTATAGTGTGATCAAGTTTCATACTGGATTAATATTTTACCATGTAAGCACATTAAAAAAAGTTTGATTCCCAGAATCATTACGTTGATATTGACATTTGGTGGGACGGAAATAATAATTTATAATTCAAATTTTGGGACCATAAATCAAATGTTTTTCAAAATAATTTGGGCATGTTTCAGAATTTGTTATTTCGTGGATTTTTCGATGAGCATTTTACTCTGGAAATGCCTATTATACAACTAAATTCAATCTTTACGACGAAAATTGATTTGTTTGCAATATTAGCAATTTTGTTTGCATCAATCATATTATGCTGTAATATTCGGGTAAGTTGCGATAAAATACAATCTTAATTACAATAGATCATCTTCAAGATGTGTGAAAAATTATTAAACAAAATAAGCGAAATTGTCAAAATAATTCTAACTTTTCAGTACTTTTTCTTTACTGCAAAAATTATTTCAACAAAAATATATTCAGAAGTTATAGGTGTTGGCTACTGTATCGTTCATAATGGTATCTATATGTGTTTTGACTACTAACAGTACAATATTCGTTGGCTTTTATTTTGCTAATGTAAATAATTGGCTAGCTGCTGGTTTTTTTAAGAATGGTGCAGCTGGTGTAAGTAACATGTTTTTTTATGATAATAATTTCAAGATTAGAATTTATAAGTTATACAACCGGCTATTTTGATTTTTCACAACGAAAAAATAAACTGTTTTAACAAAAAAGGAAAGCAATTTCATTTAAGTATTGAACAAATTACTGGGTAATATTAATGCAAACTTCACTTAGTTACAAAAATTTCATTTCGCTGTTTTTATTTTTATCATATTTATTAAATTAAAGGCAGGCAGATGTGATTAAAATCAATTTTTTAGGTATTAAAAGGTGCATCATACTATCTTTCTGCCTATATTGGCATTGAAACATTGACTTTTTTATTGGAAGAAACAAAAAACCCTCAAAAAAAATTAGCAATCAGTCTACCATTTATAATTATTGCACTATCACTAATAATGTTTCTAACAACAATGGTTTTTACATTAGTTGCGGATGTCTCAGCGTATCCAAACAAGATGTTTCTACCTGATATTTTTGATCAACTTGGAATACCGTCTGCCAAGTACATTATATAAACATATATATATATATAAATCTAGCAAATAAATTTAAAAATTTCTATGCATTTTATTGTCAGTAATTTATTTGTTCCATCTTTGAAACCTATAGTAGATTTCTTTTGCACCATAAAAAAGCTAAAATAATTAAAGAATAAATAATTTACAGGATAATTTTGTTTCTCCTTTGTAATTATGATTATATTTTGTTATTACAGGTATGTGATGACAGTAGGTTCAGTATGTGGCTTGTCTGGAACTATGCTTGCGATATTTGTGCCAGCAACAAGACTTTTGTCATCTCTTGCTCAAGACAACTTACTTCCTCTAACTTTTTTAGCTCATACAAGTAAAAAACGTGGAGTACCATACTACGCAGTTTTATCATGTGCTTTGATCTCATCTATATTCATCGTTCTCGATACTTCCAAATTATTTGAAATTATCGCATTTAGTACCTCAATAAAATTAATTTTACTTGTAAGCTTTTAGTAATTTTGAAATTTGAAGGACAATATAAAATATTTACTAATATTAGCCAGATTTTAAACTTTTTGCTAGGGTTGTTTGGTATATGATCAACGGTATCGTCCTGATGCATTTGGATTGTTTCGAGAAGTAGCTTCATACAGGAAGATTCCTCCTCGATCATTAGCTAGCTGGACAGATGATAAGGATTCTTGCTCTGTTTCTATTTCAAAGTGATTTCAAAATGATTACAATGACTGTTTCTATAATCACTATTAATACTATTATTAATATTGATAATAATAATACTATTATTATCATTATTATTATTAAAATTAGTAACAATAATATTAGCACTAATAATATTAATTGATAATATTGATATTAATAATATTAATAATACTACCTTTTTTAATATTTATTTCAAGCAAAAAAAGTGGCATTCATTACTCCATTTGCTAGAAATAAAAAGCTTTCTGTTTACACTCAGATGGAGCGAAAAAGATGAAGATAATGATGTGATGAGCAGCTATGAAACTCTTCGAGCAAATTTTACTCAACAAGAATGTGCACAATTTTATGAAAGAGTGCAAAAAGTATGTAAATTCTATTAATGACAAGGAGCAAATTTTTGATTTATTTCAAGCAGGCAATATAATTGTTAAGCGTGAATTGAGATTTATAATTTTAAATTATTGCCAAATTAAGATTGAAGTAAACGAAATCTTTTTAATACGTGATTATAAGTTGAAAAGTGATGATTATTAATGCAAATGAAGATTAAAAAATGTAAATAGAAAGCAAATTTTACAAATAGTGAAAATGCTTAAAAACAAAAATCTTACAAAGTAAGAAAATTTTTTAGTTAACATCAGTGAATAAGAATGTTATTTGTTATCATTATGCAACACAACAAAAAATAATTATATTCATTTTAGTCACAGTCAATGGTAGAAAACCTGAAGAAAACTGTGATTGAACTTTGCAAGGATTATAAACAGCGGTCATTATCATCATATGAGGCATATGATTTTGGTCATTACTGTGTTCGACCCTCATGTTCTCTTGCTAATAATTTAGGTAACTTCTTACTTTACTCTTCGAATCTTATTCGATATTCATGAAGGATGGCAATGTTTTAAGAAAAATTTGTTATCTTAAAGGTAGCATACTGTTTAATACGCATTGCTTGATTAAAATTAATTAAAAGTAATACAATGAGAAATTAGATGGCATTTAGTCTTAATTGCATTTAATTTGTATGCGTATCATGACGTTTTTAATTCTAATTTTGATTCATTCTCAAACTTTGTTTCAATCAATTCTAATTTTTTAAATGCACAATAATGAAACGTCAAGTATAATGAATGGAATCCAAAGACTAGCTTTAGCCTTCCACTTTATATTTGTTATCTTTTGAGCAGTCTATATACATTAAGCGATTTTATTAGTAATCAAATAGGATATCAATTTTGTTCTGCTACATTTTTGATCTTTTTAAACAAAAATATTATTATATAAAATACGTACTGTGAGATACATAAATTAAGTAGTTTATATTTATAGTTTTGTTCTATCATATGAAATGTATGTGGGATGTTGAAGCATACCTTATTTTTAGTTTTGAAATTTGATTCAAAATAGGAATAGCAATTATTAATTTTTTTTAAATGCACAAACTTGATTATAAAACTGGATACTTCATCAATAAGTTATATTTTAAAGTAGTATAATAGAACTATAAATGGATGAGATTTTATTTTGCAGCCAATTTTCAAAGGCATAAATTTCATACTTTCGAACGAAATGTACCAGGAACTCCTTACTGCGTAAAGTATTCTGTATCCACTGATACTTCAAAAGAGACTGACCGAAATGAATACAAACGTTCAATGAAAACGTTATTTTTCTTCATTCTAACGACATTAGCGATTAGCTTTTTAGCGTCAAAGATAGATGGAGAATCGCATAAGGTTGTTGCTTTATTTTTTTCTTGTTGCTGAAAAACAACAGCCTAAAAATGCATGAAGAAGTATAGCAGTTTAGAAAATATTTATTTTAATCATTATAGTTCATTTGATATTTTCAAGACTTAATTGCAAAAATTGCAATGAAAAATATTAACTGTTAAAATGTCAAAAGCAGCATAAATATGAAGGAAGAAAGATTAAGGATTCCAAAAAAACTTATCCTCCTACATATTACGGTGTATTTGCTTTAATTAACTTCAATAATATATAAAATTAATAAGCTATGTAAACTGTTTGCAATTCTTCAATTACTCTAAAAAATCAATACTGAAATTCTACTTCCACTTTTCGATTTGAGATACTGTAAGTTTTTTATTGTTAATTAATAAAAAAACTATAGTTTCCTACTCGCATTTTCACTGCTCTTATGACGGTGTAAAATGTTTCGTTTACTTTTTTCTTCAGTTTAATGGATTTGTTATTTTTCATATAATTTTACAGCTTCATTGCTATTATGTCTTATTTGTAGAAAATTTTAAACCATTTTTTTAGTTTTTAATTTTTACGCTATAAATAACAAAATTTAAAATATCAGCATAGTTGTTAAAGGCATTCGTTTGTTTAAATTTCAGTTATAATTTTTAAAAAAGTTAAAAACAATTAAATGAAATTAAAAATATAATTAAAAACTAAGCTGAAAATTACAAAAAGCAGTATTCAAAGCAGAATTTTAGAAATTTTAATAAATGTACAAATTATTAATACCGATTACAAACTGGCAAAATGTTAAGGAAACAGTTTATCTCATGGTAATTTTAATTCCTACGGTGAAATTATTGATTTTTTTAAGCTTCACTTTTTTTTGCCACTGATAATTACAATCATCACATTGGGATATCTGGTAGTAGCTGCTTCAAGACAAAAAGTTAATCCAGTGAATAATCAGCGACGGTACAAAACTATTACATTTCCTTACATTACTCTGTTCATTATTTTTTTACTATTACTGTTGGCAAGCAGTGCTGATCATTTGACAATTTTTGAATTTATCGTTTGGATTACTTTTGGTTAGTTTCAAATATCATTTTCTGATTTTATTCCAGTCTTTTAAAGAGCAATGTTTTTTTCAAATTTTCAATAAGTAAAGTAGCAAAAAATTAAATTACTAATTTCATTATGGCTAATTATTAAAGATTCTTTAGTGCAAAGGACATTTGCTAACTATATTTATCTTTATCACTTGAACAGAAGTTATAATTGAAACATAAATTTTATAAAAACACAATTAGACTTATTCTGATTCGAATTAGTCATCGCAATTCCTTTGATATATTCAAATTTTAGGTGTAATATTTTATACATTAATTGGATATAGACACAGCAAAGCAAAGTGTGATCAGTTTAATAGGATTGTTGTGGAAAATAATATGAGATATAATGCTTGTCATAGAATTACAAATAATCAATGCAGTAATATGATTTTAAATGATTCTGACAACAATGCAAGTTCACTATCCTAAATATTGTAAACTGCGTAAATAAAAGAAAATAATTTTCATCGTCCACTGCAGTTTATTTAATATTCAAGAAATAAACTTGAATTTTAAGTTTTTTGTTGTTTCCTAAGTCATAAATTTGTATTGTTTACTTACTTTACTAAAATATTTTACGCAATTTGTAAACAATCTGTTCGTAGAATGACATAATCATCAACTTACTTCTCTCTGTTAAAAGAAATATATTTGGTGTAGAATCATCTCAATTCAAAATTCAATCTGAAAGTTCACTTTTTCAACAATCGGTTGAGCTCATTCATTTAAATAGCACTACTCACATTTCTTCTTTACTAAATTTTGCATTAAAAAATACTTTTTCAAGTAAACAGTTGCAGTCAGTCAGTATGCTTTGACATTACAGCTTGTCATTTCACAAATATTTAACTTTATAACTGATATCACTAATCTTTTTTAAAGTATATAAAAGTATATTTTCAGTTGTTAACTGATGCATCTTAGACTATGTAGGGACAGATGTCGATAATCATAGCCTGCTCAGAAACTATTCAGATTAGAGATGAGAAAAATTACTTGACTTCGATTGTTAGTTGTTCGATCTTTCATGAATGATAAAGAGGTTAGCAGATATGAAAATACCAAAATTGTATGAGACAAGCAGTTGCTTAGCAAAGTGAAAGCCATTACACACACGAATTATTTAAACATCAATTAATTTCTAACGATAAAAACCAACAATAAGGTAAAAGCTGATCACTTTCAAGTTTCTTATGCATCATACTTGAATTTCCATTGCTAAACCACTTACATCTAGCAACCTTATTATTGAGAAAATACCAGTAAGCAATCGTAGTCTAACTCTTATCGCAATCATTTTTTTAAAATTGAACCTCACCACATATACAGATCTTGCTCATTGTATCAAGTTACGAACTTTTGCAAAGCATAAATCGTTTCACTCACTTTAATATCATTGACATTCTTCACACAAAATTATTTGTTTAGCTCTCTTTATACTCATCAGAACAGTAATCTGTCTACCTACTCAAGTCTACTTCTGCAGTCAAAATTTCCCTGATTAAAATTTGAACAAAGTGTTGAAAATGCTTCACACGAATGATAAAATCACATGCTTTATTCAAAACTGAAATGCATCTCATGAACAGAAAACAAAAAACTTAACATATTGTCAATGACCCTGCATTACTAGACCAAAATGGAATAATACTGCTAAATATCTGCGTACATTACAAAAATATATACATAGATATTAAATACTTGACCAAAAATAACTAATCGCAAAAAATGAAGAAAAAAAGAGAAACAACAACGTGCAATAAGCTCAATGTGTTGACAAAAACGCGAAAAATTTGCATACATAGAAAATATTTCATCGAACTCCTATATTTACTTCTTTAGTAAGGCATACTTAGCTCTAATCGACTTTTATACAATAACATTCTTACATAAATAAACAAAACAGTAATAACTATCTATAATAGTAATAATGGAGATTATATTATGGACAAGATAAATGCATTCATTATTAGCATGATAGTGTTAAAGGACAGCGTAGTTGATATAAGCTACTGTAAAATGGTAAATTTAATTTTTACACAGTTAAATAAAATACGTAAATATGATCAACAAGAGAGTGTAAACAAGAAAGGATGAAAAAATTCGACGAATCGTCGGGATAAAAGACTGAGATCACGGAGAACAGAGGAATATGAATTATGAATAAAAAATAAAAAATAATAATTTACAACAGCAAAAAGACATAGCAACATGAAAACACAGCTCATTAATTGAGACCCTGCTGAAATAAAGATTAATGTCTGATCGTGAATAATGTAAAGACATAAATTTTAATCGGACTCTTCACTTGCTGCATCATCTCCAGAATAATTGAAATTTGACTGTACTGGATGTCTAATTAAAGATGCTGTTGCTGTTGCGTCAGCGTTAGTCGTCCCCGTTGCTACATTATGGAGTCGAGTTTTAGGGGAACGACCGTAATTACCACTTGATTTCAAATGGGCACCTCCTGAAAATATACAAATAAAAAGAATAATCGGAACTCTTTGCACAAGCAGCATCAATTTCATAGGTACAACTCCGATACATACAGATGCAATGACATTATGATGATGATAGGTGATAAGAGTTTGATCGAGAAAACCCCACAGTAATGTACATTTGAAAGTAAATGGTCCGCACCAACTTGATAAGGATGGACGCCATTCAATGTCATCACTGTTTGCATCGGAGCTGGTGAAGGTACTGAAAAAGGTGCTGTACTCATACTTGGTCCAGTTCCAACCGAAGTATTACCAGTTGTACCTCGCAACAGGCTTACTGATGGAGTCGATGAAGATTGCCTACTACCTCGATTTTTAGCATTACTTGCATCTGAAATATTCTCTAGTAACATATTACATAGTTCAAATTTACTCTTTCATAAAAAAGCATTTAAAATGATTCAAAATGAACTAAACAAACTACTATTGATAACCACGAAATACATGGAAATTCTTTACCCGAGTGTGAACTGCTTGAATGATTTTGTTGATGTGATAGAAGAGATTGTGATGGACTAGTCAGTGACCAAGTTTGAAGACGAGAATAAAGTTCTCTGAATGTAGGTCGCCGTTCTGGATGTTCATGCCAGCATTCCACCATTAAACTACATACCATTCAAAATAAATTTCAGGATTAAAAGATGTATTTTTAGAAGTTACTTTGAGTAGTAGCAAGAAATTAATTTGATTAAATCATTAGAAATTTAATACAAACTTACGATTCCACAAAGAAAAATACGTAAAGAGTAAAAGAAATAAACATCATGCATCATCAATCTATAATACCTATAAATATTAGTTGGACAATTCTGAGGGCATTCCAACAGACTACGCACAGAGATCAGTTCGATGACATCTTGATGAGAGTAACCTTCATAAGGCTGCCTTCCGTACGAATATATCTCCCATAATGTAACACCAAATGACCAAATATCACTTGCTTCACTAAAACGACCATACTGAATTGCTTCACGAGGCATCCAACGCACTGGTAACCAAGTTCGATGCATTACCTATATAAATGCCAAGTTTCAGTAAAAATATTGCTTTGAGCTAAAATATTTGAAACTTCAAAACAAAAAAAAAACAAAAATCGAAAATCCAAGCTTAAAATACATTTTGTGTCACAATTATATGTCAATTATACTGTTGCAGTTAATAATTATAGATAAAACGAAACTTTGAAAAATTTTTATTTTTGCCCATATTTTTGCAAATGAAAATTGATTATATAAATACGAAAACTTTCTTTATCAGCAACTGAAAATTGAAATTAATACTGAAAAAAAAACGATATTGCGTAAATAAAATATCCATATTTGAAGACCTGCTACATAATTTTTAAATTTAGAGTTAACCTTGTAATAATCCTTTTCATAACAACTTCGAACCAGTCCAAAATCAGCAATTTTGATCCCTCGCTGATCGGCCACAAAACAGTTTCTAGCTGCTAAATCACGATGTACAAAATTCATACTCGCCAAATATTGCATACCATATGCTATCTTAAATGAAGCGCACATAATTACGCAACACAAATATACAAAAAAAAAAAGGGAAACGTCTCTTTTTAGCACACTATTTTAAAACTTACAATTTTTCTTGCTCGTCATAAATATTTATTAAAAGAAGTTGATAAATCAAAATATACTTGAAGAGAGATACGTAAGAAGTCCTCATTATCAGCAATAATTCGCTCTTGATCGACAACTTGCTCGTATCTAGAAAATTGCTATTTATCAATTTTTATGCTCAAGCACTTTTTAAAACTAAAATTTCAAATTTTCCACTGAGTAGTCATCGAGCTGTTCCATCTTTTTTAAAATACGCTCATGCAATTATCTGTATTTTTAATTCAAGCATGACCACATTTGACCCTATAATAGAGAACAACAGATGCCCTGATTCTTAATAGAAATATTTCCAATACATAAATTTGAAAAAAAAGGCAAGTTCCTATCATCGCAACGAAAACTTGGCCAAATATTTGAAAAACCACATACCCACTGCTTTTCGGTGCTCTGAGACGTAAAAAGTCATGTAAATCTCCATGTACCAAATATTCGAATACAGCACTTAACTGCTGGGTATCAAAGTAACATACTCCAAGCAAACGTACGACATTTGGATGATTAAACGGTGCTACAGTACGGATTTCTTCCTCGAAATTTTGCCTGTCTATGACACTATGTCCTGGTTTTAATGACTTTACTGCTACCTAAAACAACACTGATATTAGAGAATGAACTTCAAAATTTTTTACTGAATTTCCGAAAATCAAAAAAAATTGTAATATTAAAACACAACATAATCATCTACTCACAGACATCCCATCATCACTGATAACGAACTTGATGAAAAAAAAAATTTTGAATTAAAAAAAAAAAACCAACCTGTTTATTAATAATAAACTGATAAATAACGATGAATAAGCAACTAACTTGTACAGGTTCTCCATTCAGAAGCGATCCATGCCAATTAGCACTGTGCACGACACCAAACTGGCCCTCACCAAGCAAATCACCGATTTCTAACTGTAATATATTCTACGTCAACGATAAAAAAATACAGCCACAATAATTTTTTGAAATATTGGCATGAGTTATATTTCAAACAATATCCTGCTGAATAAAATAAACAGAAAAACTTGGAAAGTACAGAAGAAGCGAAATACATGAAAAAAGCTAATGATTCTTGAAAGTGATGAGAAAATAATTAAGGTGAGGAAATGGCAACCTGATTAGATTGTATTTCAGGAATATGGTACGGTTCAACAGATTGATCAGTAGATGGTCTAGGACTATACTGGGCGTAACTACCAGAATGATGATGTTGCATTAGTGTATTACCGTTATTTGGCGCTTGTATTAATGATGAAAGTTCAAAACCACAATTGCTTGGATCCGTATTTAATGTACCATTTAATTTCCGATAATATGTACTATTTACAGCGCTAAAAAATTTTTTTGAGTGTTTTTTTAAACTTAAACAGTTCAGTCTCTTGCTATATACGGAATACATTGAAGAACTAACCTATTGGCAGTACTACACCCATTACAACTTTGTAAACCATTATTTTTGATAATTGATGAAGTGCCAGTTGTAGCTGCTTCTTTACGTTTTTTACGACAACAACAATAAGAGCATAGTATAATTAACGAAAAGATGAGAAAACCAAGACCCCCAAGTACTGCCAGTTGCCACTGAGACGACAAATTAGACCACATATCCGATACATCACTTATCACAGAACCCTGAAAACTACCAAACTTTTACTGCATAAACTTTTTGCTTGAATAACATATTCATATTTACTATCTCACATTTGACTGTTTTTCAAAAACATGAATATTTATTTTGTATACCAATTATCGATCTAGAGCATAATTACCATTGAGAAGAGCCGTTAATCGTAATGGTAGTTTGAAAATAGACTCGATTTATAACTTTGAGTTGAATATTTTTTTCAACTTTAAAACTTCTCATATGTTACAATATTTTTTGCCATCATTTTTTTAGCTAAATGATTGTGTAAGAAAAGAACAGACATCGTCATTAATAGTTCCCATAATTTCTCGATCACGTAAATAAGGATATACTTTAGTAGGGCATTGCTTAATTTCACAGTACTCTTCTTGGCCATTTGGATGCGTGAAACACCAAGGCGAACTTTTTTTGCCACCAGGATTACGACAATAATTTTTACTAGTTCGTAGTAATGGATATCGGTCTATATTGAATTCCCTTAAATACAATATTTAAAACTGACCAGGAGAAAATTAATACTTATCTAACAAACAATTGTTGTCATTATTCTCGATTACAGCATTATCCACGTCAACATTCATAGCTCATTGCTTAATCACTTTAAATAGCTAAGTAAATGTTGTAATAAATACATTTTAATATTTTCAAACGATAAAAAGTTCACTAAATTTATTTGTATCAGAACAGTTCTGATAAAGTTATTTTTAAATACAAAACAAAAATTTAAAAAGTACCTTGAAAAACTTTGCGCCCAATTCATGCAGCGTTTTCCAGTTTTTGTGGAAGAAACATTACCATCATATGTTTTTCCACTATTTACGTAACACCAATGTAATGAATCTTTCGAGGTGGCATCTGATAATGATCCTGCATTATTTTCAAACTGAAAATAATAGTTTTTTAATATCATATATAATTAGTAATATCTAAGACGGATTACTTACGAAAATACCACTGGTTTTAAGGGAATATCCTTTTTTCGTACGAATATTTTCAAATAGAACCTGATCAGGGACATTAATAATCGGTATGCAATAATCTGCTTTCGGATTTAATGACTGGCATTTTGGAAGAAGAGCTTTAGAATCATCACCAACTAAATCGTGTTCAGCGGCTAGTGCTAATTCTTTTGGACATAAATCTGCCTGCAATATAGTTGGAAAAAGATTTTATCATATAATTATCATGATCAGAAGGAAAATGTAGATGTTACCAAGTAAATTTTATACACTGTAGTAATTATATTATTTATTCTAATCCTAATAATATAATTATAAATTACATTTGATATTATGAAAATACTAACTGTAACTGTACAAACATATATCATAACAAACCTGCAATGCATCACAATCTTTTCTGCAAATTGTTAGTATGTGAGACATTCCAGATGAAGCTTCATGATCTTTCCCAGATGATTTGTCACATACCTTATACATATGATAACATGCAACTGCGTGGGAATAATGCTTGCACTGAGCTGATATATCAGGACTATTGTTGATGAACATCATTGCTGCTCGCAGATTGCGATCTGAAATACAAAATGCCTCATTAAACCATACATAAAATGTATTTAAAGTTTCTTCACAACTCTTATTACATGTTGGCTCACTAAAATTCTCAATACGTCACTTGACAAACAATCAAGATTTCTGCATAGTTATTGTTCGCCATGAAAATATAAAGTTTAACATATCCGACAGAGGTGTGAAGCGCTACATATTCCATAATTTGTTAATTATGGAAAATACAAACAAATCATTATAAAAATCTACACAATAAGTTTCATGTATTTGGAAAGCGTCAAACCAAACTCTTAAAACTTTCGAAATAATATAAGATTTAACAAATCCTCAAGAGAAGAAGAAAATTAACGAACCGACATCATACATATCTTCTCGATTATCGCTAATGATCATAACATGCCGACCAGTGAGATATTCTCGACATGCTTCACCTCGATATAATACACAATCGCCAACTTTAGCATTTAGACCGTCTAGCCAACGATCTGTTGGTGCCATCGGAGCAAATCCGGGTCCTGCAGCATCATTTGGCACATTCCAGAGATTATCCTCTCGATCTTCCTCATTCGGTAAACGTCCTAAACCACCTGACATCGATGAACCAGGTGCTTCAAAATCCTAAACAAAGTCAAATCACGAACTTATTTTATATATCTCCTCACATAATAATATTGCTTCTGTCAAGAATCCAAAATAAAAATTCCACAAATCTTCACAAAGGATTAGAATAAAATTCATCATTTATTTGCTTTCCAAACCTATTTTTACCTTAACATTTCATTTTTATTGAGTTTTCCCTTTAGTAAAAATACCTCTTCAAAATATTCTTCGTTTTGAAAATTAGTAATTTTAGCAGCAGATTTTCCTTTTAGCTTGTTTGCTACTGATGTTTTCCCAGCGGGAAAATTGTTAACCTATAAATTCATAATTTAACACTGAAATTCAACTACCAGACATAATATAACACAAAGTCCTCACAAAATATATTTGTATATAATTATTATTGTTTCACTCGTAAGAAAAAAAACAAACTATTCTGTATAATTTCGGTATAATTTATTTCCAGATCATCGCAGTATATACTTATACGTTATCTATTAAAGTAAAAATTAATAATTGCATAAAGTAGTTGTAATGAACAGCTGGATTCATTACACAAATGATGGAACAATTGATGGACAGCTTTTACGAGGGTTAGAGAGGTCATTTATTAGAAATTAATAGCGAGCAGATGAGAAAAAATATGAATGAAACATGATTAATGAAAAATGAAGAATTTCAAATCGTTTAAAACAGGCAGGTTCAATGACAAATATCACAAACTATGAAATTACAAGAGAAATCTTTATTTAAGACATGAATATTAGTAGATAAATGCAGTATTGCCGGATGAATGGCCAGCGAAATTTTTTTAATTTATTTAACAAATATCCTTTGTTGTAAATTAAATCGTACGAACCTACCTGGAATTTGTAGAAAAATAAGAAAGAGGAGAAATAAGTAAGAAAAGAATTATGAAAAATAAATGAATGTATCTTAGCATTTCACTTCTTTAGTGATGATTAGTAGAAATTAAGTGATTGCTGCTGCAGTGAATAGTTGATGAACAAATTTGCATTTTAAATGTTTAATTTGGAAATTATAAATTTTCACAGTGAAATAATAAAACAATAATTACTACTTTCTTATAAGACTAAAAAAAGATATAATTAATATTCAAGAATAAAAGAAACAAGTGGTAAAACTCAAAATAGTAGGAAAATCTGACAAAATTACAGATACCAACTCGTTAAAATGAATAACTGTGTAAAGCAAACAACATAGAAAACACCTCCAATGATTAACGTTGTTTTATTGCTGCGATAAAGAACTATGAAAAGCAAACACTGAACTACCCATCCATCTATTCAATCATCATTAAATTCTTTGTTCATTTTTAATTAGTCAACTTTGTAATTTATTACTAAATATGCAACTTGGTATTTGGACCGAAACAAAAATAAAGAGATGTAATTTAGAGTAAACAACTGCTTGCATAGCAAACAAATTTGATTTACTAGATTTGACGCATTTAGCAAACTCTTAATGATAAATAAAGTGGCTAATGAAAATGGTAAAATAAAATTTTAATACATTTGTTTGTAGTGTGTATCTTATTAACCACATGAATGCAACTTAGAGTTAACTACACATTTTGACAGTACAAAATAGCGAACAATAAGCAAAATTGAGATAACTTTCATAAAATTTATAAAATAGTGAAATTTATTTCAATAAGCGATTGAAGTAGTTAGTAAGTGTGAAATAACAATACTTAAAAATTTTTTTTGTGTTATTAAGCAGTAAAATTATAAAAAGTTCAAGCATTAATACTGACTACTTCAATGTATGCAATTACATGAAGAAGAAAAATTGAATAATTAAAAGCATACAAATTTCATACTAGCCATATATTTATAGCTGCCATTAAATTGCTCATAAACAATTAATTACGTCTACTAAGTAATTACATTACTCAATAGACTAGAATAGATAAAAGAGAAAAGAATAAGAATAGAATGAAAAAGGATAAGGAAGAGTACTAATTATGAGTGCTGTGCTGTGCTGTGCTGTACTGTACCACAATGGATAACAAATAATAGAGAAAGAAGAGGATAAAGTAGTAAGGCAATGAATAATCAGTTTTCTTGCTTGCGCTTAAGAGCAAATAAGTATTCATTTGTGTTCCTCTTTCTTCTTCTATTTAATAATTAACTAACTAACTAACTAACTAACTAACCAATCAGTTCATTCATCCACTCATTCATTCACTTCCACTACCATTAACATTCATTTACTAATTTACTATAAACTTACTGCTACTGTTATCATCCATTTACTGTCATTACGATCACTACTACTACAACTACTCATCGACTTACACATTCGTTCATTCACTAATTCACTCAGTCAGTACTCGTACTCGTTTGTTTCTTTCGTTTCACTCAAAGACAATAACTGCATGCAATGAATGAGAATAAAAGAGTAAGAGAGAGAGGAATAGAGCAGCACAATAGAGAGTATATGTATTCACTTTCTGCTTCCTGCCTATTCCATCAGCACTCACTACTCCCTCACTCGAGCGTATACTATACGTGCCACATTTGCTTCCATTTCACTCATTCAGTCATTTGTAATGAAGTATGGCACTACTAGCTGACCCATCCATGCACAAGCTCAAGCAGACAGCACTCACAGCATCAACTCATATCATCCATCCATTCCATTCTATTCCATTCCATTCAGTCTTATACTATCCACCTATTCAGCTATCAATCTGATTACTGTGTAAAGCTTATTTTTAATCTTATACAAAAATATTGCTAACTTGCTCAATATTGATCACTGCAAAATTATTAATGATTTAACAACAACAATAACAACAGTATTGTCATTGTTTACAGCATGCTTTAAATGCATTAAACACTAACTACAAACAAGTATAGGCATTCTTTTAACACAGCTGCTTACTCTAAATTTTACCGCAAATACATTCTTGCATATGACTAATAAGATAAAAGAGATGCAATTAAATGCTTTCTCTGTTCATCCCGCTTGCATTTTTTATTTCTCAAGTTTATCCCTATAAATTACTTCTTTGTGATATCCATGTCAAGTTATAAAGTTAATTAACTACTAAAATATTTGTGTATTATCTTATTTTTTCTGTCTGATAATATGAGAAGAGTGAAGTTTGACAATGATGTGTGTCCTTCAAGGATAGATATCCTTCCATATATTCATTGCTGAAAAGCAAGCTAACAAATTGGCACTTGAATGAATAAATCATTATATTTCTTTCTTTTAACAAATGAGATTTTCAAATATCTGGTCAAATTATCTTTTCATTACTAAATGTCATGCAAGTGATTGTCATGCAAGTGATTCATTGACGATTTCATACCTAAACTAGCATTTTTTCTTATGTGCATGATCGTTCGTGTTAGTTCTTCATCTATATGTATGTATGCATAGTTTGTGCATTTGTATGCAAAGGTCTATTTTTAAATGTTGAACTTGATGTTCAGTAAAATTAACTACTGACCATTACATGCAGCTTTTGTTGCTAGAACTTGTTGTATGTATATACTGCATGTGAAGAAAAAATACAATAAGTCAATTTGAAAATGTGAATTGGTTTCATCTGTAGTCCTTCAAAATTTGACTTGATAAATCTTTTTATGTTCATCCTTTTAAAAACAGTTTTATTATGCAAAGGAGTATAAAAATCAGGTCATTTTAGGAACTATAATACATTTATCTATTAACAAGTTTAATTTATTTCTATTGATAAAATGCTAAAATTCAGGAACTATTGGTTTCGTTGCTAAATGAAGGAATGGGAGAATGAATAAATATTATATAGCAGTAAAAACGCAACATTTCCGAAAACAAACTCTTCAATTTAAATAATCACTAACTAATTGAGTAATTAACGTTTTGTATACATAATTAATTTTGTTTATATTTATGTAAATATTAAATAGTTATCGATTCCCCCTTCATATATATATATAAAATATGAGCAACGATGATAAATAACAAAATGAATAATATGACAAGAGAACTGTTAGTCTTCTCATCCATTATATTAGTTGGAAAATACTACAATAGCTGTGAAATAAATTTGAATATTATCTGTTTCATTATTACAAAAGTAGCTGTGAATTAGATAATATTCAAATATACGCCAGCTGCCATCAAGACAATTCTTTATTCATTCAAAATTCCAAACAAGTAGTATGAAAGAAAAGTACTGAGTGTCAGAAACGGCTATTTTTTTTTCTATATGTTTATTATATTTTCGAGTTTTATTTAAAACATATTAAAAAATTGTTAGCTATCAGTGCTGCTTACTACTTACAAATGAAATTGAAAACTATCATCAAATTTTTTCTTTACTTATATATTATTATTAACTTTCTTAGCATCAAGATTTTCTTTAGAAATCCTTAACTTGTTATTAACATGGAACGCTTTTCCTAGAAATAAAAAAAGTAAAATAACAATACTAATAGTTATCTGAGTGAAACATTTCACAAAATAAACGATCAGGCTTGGCAGCTTGATGTACTGAGTAAATAAAAAGAGTTTGAAGGAGACAAGTACTATAAGTAAAATGTTTGGAATGAGAAAAGCCAAAATAAGTACATTTTATTAGCACATTTTTAGCATGCTTTCAATACTTTTAATGTATTGTTTCGAATGTGAAATAAAGGTTAAGAAATTTTTGACGGAAAACTGAAAGATCAAGATCAAATTTATATTAAGTAATACATCAGGAGAATCAAAAGATTGATAAATGATTGAGGAAATGAATATTTAGAATATTGATGATATAAATTCAATGAAAATAAAGTATCTATTGATATATTTAAATTCTTAAATACATTTTCGTTTTCTGTACTGAAGAATTTTGTCAATTACTTATTCAATCTGTACATTTATTAATTAAACTTGTAAGACCTAAAGTTTTGAAACAATGATTCAAATTTGATTACTATAAAAGTTTGAACTTTTTGTAAATGCATGTAATACAGTGCTTAATTTCCATGCAGTAATATTTGTAATTGACTTGTTTCTAATAACATGTTATCTTGCTTCCTCTAGTTGTCATATTCTGCTATTTGCGAAACTACAGATGAAATTATTATCATATTTAGTCATAATTCATTTTTCAAAAACAAAATAATTATGTGACAAAAAGCTGACATAGAAAAATATGTGTGCTGTTGACGATTTCCTTATCAGAACCAATCAGTTTCATAATTAGCAACCTTTAGTATGAACATGAATCGATAAGATAAAGAGCTTAGATTGTTTATAGAAAAGTAAAATTATTAAGATAGTTGTTTAAAAAACGTGATTTTTTTTGTACTAGTTTTCTAAAATTATACAAATTATGGACTAAACGTGTCCTTACATATCTGTCGCGATAGTAATAAACTTCAGTGACAGACAGGCAATTTAGAGCAACGAAAATCGACAACAAAATAAACAAAGGAGTGAATAATTTGGAAGTCAAAAAATTTATTGCCTTATGATAAAAAAAAATTTCACACATATTTTTTATTTACTCTACCATGTAAAAGACATTCTTCAACAATTATACTAGTAAGTACAATAATTAAAATACAAAAAATGACCTTTGTATCATTTCAACAATATAATAACTTTTTTCGTCAATGAAAATTAAAAAAATAAAATATTCCGAATATAATTTTAGCTAAATCAAATAACTTTTCTGATAAAATTATGAACAAAAATATATTCGTTCTAGATAAATAATTTGCATTTAATGGATTGACAAAAAAATTTCTGAATCCCATACATAACTTGCAAAAATAATGTCATGTTTCTGCAAATTTTGACAGTTAGCTTTATTAAACTTGAACTGAAAAAAAAGTAAAGTTATAAGTATTTTTCAATTAATTATTATATTTAAAGTAATAAACTAACCCTAAGAACAGCAGTAGTATTGACACTTGTAAGAGAATTGCTGACAACACATTGATAATATCCACTATCTAAAACTTCCAGTTCCGTGATTATCAGTCGCGACCAATATTCGCGGTTTTTAATTTTTGTTTTGCGATTCTTCTCTACCGGTGCATGATTTTTAAGCCAACTATAAAAAAAAAACTCAAAAATACAGTCCAGAAACTTTAGTCTTTCTAACCTTTCATCATATTAGTCATATGTCATATCCTTACTTTTAATTTCTAATGCTTTATTACGCAACAAAAATTATTTATTTGCAAGAAGCAACATAATTAACCACATATAAAAAGCATATATAAATGACTACATTCAATTCATTTTATAATGAGCAATGGTTTAATTAAAGTCAATTTTAAATATTTTTATGATCATGAATTAAATTATCTGCAGTATTCCATAAGATAACTTTTATGGGATTCAACATTCATAATTATTACTTAAACTTCGAGAGCTAAAAAAACAAACAAAAAAACCTCAGATACCTACCTGAACTGCAAAGGCAATGGACTACCAGCAGCTTCACATTTAAATCGCACTTCATCTCCAGCATTTTTAGTAACATTATTGAGAAATGATGTAAGCCGAATGTATGGCCTTTTAGAAGGTAACGTGCCATCATCCATACTGCAAAATCAGAAGAAAGTTTTGATTGAAATTGATTATCAGCATCTAATCAAAAAATTATCACACATACACACACATTCTAAATATGAGAGATAAAGACATTACAGATAAACAAATATATTAACTAAATTATAGATTTTAAAGCGTAAAATTTTGTCGTTTATCTTTGAATAATGCAAACATATACACTTTTCAAATATGCATATAATTCTCTACATGTCAATTTTTTTTCTTTTTTTTGCGAATTTCCTCACCGTGGAATGCTATAGCTGAAAAGCATGAATTGTTTTTTTTTGCGAGAGAAGATAATCTTTTTCACAAATTTTAAAGTATTTTTAGCAAACAGAAAATTTGTTATTCGCAAAAACTTTTCGAAAGTCAAACTTCTACTGCTTAAAGTTACATTTAAATGAAAGTTCTATAGTCAATTCAAGTAAACAACGTTCTGCGGTACCATAATTCTTTGCATCGTTTACATCTACTTACTGAATAAAGTAATAAATGAATGATTTTGTTCAAGTAATATTCAAATTTTTTTACGACAAGATTTAAATGGAATATTTTTTTCTGAAACAATTAAAACATTGCCGAAAATTGATAATTTTATGTAATTATACAAAACTAATAATAATCAATGAAAAGAATAGTTAGAAAAAAATTTAAGGATGTTGAAAACCAGATAATATTAACAACTTCCAGAAATAATTTATTATTCAAAATTATAGAATTTCGCTAAGCGCAATTCATTCTGCAAGTTAAGCAGTAATCAAAATTTTATAAAATTAAGTTAAAAAAAAAAAACCTGATTAATTTAGTACTATAAAAAAGTCTATAAAGTGTATTCCATTGCTTTTTTGTTTGAAAAAATGATACAATAATAATTAATTTCGATCATTTACTGATTAATCAATTAATAGTTTGTTATAAAAAATTGTTAATTATTAATAATACTTACTAACTGCAAAAGACAAAAGACGATAGTGACAAAGCGAAAAGTAGTTAATAAATATTAGCAAAAAATGCAACAACAATACAAAGTATGATGTAATAACTTTACTTTTGTTCCAGCAATAATAAATGGCTAACATAAAGAATTTCTGAGTACTTAAAATTAATCATAGAGTTAAGTGATGATAATGCTAGCATGTAATTTATTCTAACAACTTACCAACTAAATGATTAAATAATTAACTAACTACATCAGCACCTAATTAACAACAAAATGAGAAAAATTAAGTAATTAAATTTCGAAGAAATTTATAAGAGGAAACAGTGATGAGCTAGCAAAACAAAACAAAAAATAAGAGAAAATTATTATGAGAATGTTTGAAGGAATCAGGAAATGTAGCAATCCGTCTGAGCAACCGACAGAAATTTTTTTACGACAGAAATGCTAGATTTTATAAAATAGAAAACTCGCTTTTACACAAGCACCATCTATCAACTAATACTATTATCATCACTTATCATTACTAATAATATCATCATTTCCATAATAATATATTATTATCAACTTAATTATTATCATATCAATTTTCAGCTTCATACATGATTAACAAATATTAATAATAATCTCTGTACAAATATTTCTTGTTGTATGCAAATTTTCTTTTTGCACTACATATTGTTCTTATGATTATATTATATAACTAATTACTCAAAAAATAATTGATTCCTTTCAATTATAAAACAATTAAGTTGTTCTATTTTACCATCATAATTAATAAAAATTTACTTACCAAACATTTAATATTGAAAATTGTACAAATTAATTCTTACATCTCATTCCTTCAATAAAATATAAGCAAAAAACTAATACAAAGCAAACTTTAGTACGCAATTTTTAAGAACTATTTTGCTCTTTTTTTTTAATTTTTGAATGGCTGCATAATGAGATATTTACTAATTTATATAACCAATAAATGAGAAATAAACGATAGCAACTCGTAGTATTTTGTCCTCAGATATAAAATTAGTATAAAATATTACTCTAAAGCCTTTTCATAAGCAAATAATACAAGCAGCAAGTAAGTTGAACGGAAATGCTTGATAGTTTTATCTAAACTGTAGAGACTGATTATCATATTGAAATGAAAGCAAAAATTACACTGAATTTAACTATTCTGCATATCATCAAAACAAAATAAAAACACATTAGCATCTTATTAATTCAATTTTTTCTGGCAATACAAGAATTAAATCAATCACCATACAAACATATACTTTGGATCAACGGTATTTAAATGCAAGTATTATAGGTAAATACCACAAAAAATTTTCAATAAATTTAAAAAATGCGGGAATTTGAGTTAACATAATATCAATTAACATATCATCAAAAAGGGTACTTATAAGATTCAATTATTTACATACTCCAAACTGCTTGATTATTTTTTCTTTACTATATATAAGTAAAAGTAACATGAAATAATTGAAAAATGCGTCAACTTTCCTCGTTAATTTGCAATATTATATTTATCGAAGTAAATACAGCATACCTATTGTATTGCGTTCTTCCATCATTTATACTCTGCACAAAATCTTTCAAAAATTTTGCTTTTCGCTATTTTCTACAAAAAATATCAAATTGCTGAAGCGAAAAAACGGAAATGTTTGGCAGATAAAATTAAGAGAGTTATTTTCAGCATTATCAGTCACTGAATCATTTGAACAAACAAATAAGCAAAAAATTAAGTTTTGTAAAAAAACTAATATTTCAATTTAATTCAATATAACACTCTTTTCTTCTTCAACACACTATTTGATACAAACAAAATATGCTAATTTTGTAAAAACCACCAAAATTTTAATTTTACTTTACTTCGTTTACAATAAACTGAGATGAAAAGCATATATTCAAATCTATATTTTGATAAAACGATGCCATCATCAAATGTTAAGCATTTTATAATAAATAATCCGAGAAATCAACACATATGATTCAACGAGATTACATGCATTCAATGATCCTGTATCACAGCATCACACTGCTTGTTTGATTTAAACCTTACCAACTAAGAAAAATTGATAAAGTCAGTGTCTCACGACGTAGCTGTTTTTCATTCCTCAGTTCATTTATAAGGTTATAAAAATTGTAGACATTATACAATAAATCATTAATTTTTTAATATTTTAGCAAAATACAAAAACTTTTATTTTTCAAAAATATTTATCAAACAATAAAAAGAATAGCTTAAAGTTTTTTGATAACAAATATGTTCGACAAAAAAATTATTATAAATTAATATTTATAAAATAATACTGCATTAAAAAACTGTAAAACAGAATATTTAATAAGCTTTTGCAATTTGTAATTTCAAAAAACCCCACTTAAAATAATAAGAATAGTAAAAAGCATGAAAATTTGTGAATGATAAAATAATAGCTGCCAAACATAATGCTATGCATTTTTTTAGTTTGATAACGGACTAGTGAAAGTAAAAGGTAAAATCACTAACTAATGTTCACAAGGTCATAGGAATTTGGTACGCAATCACCTCTCATTACAATTAAATGTTTCACTTACATACTTTCGCATAATTATAAATTAGTTTAATTATTTTAAAAGTAATTGAACTCCTTTACTTGATTAAACTAATTGAAATATAATTTGCGAAATTTATCAAAAGAAAAGTAATACGGCAATGGGTATGAATTACATAAATGTTAGATGGTACATTAATTGTTGAAATATTTTATAATGCAAGAATTTTTCATTTTTGAATAACTGCATTATCCTTACAAGACTATAATTTTTAAATGATTACATTGCCTTCTCGATATTATAAATATTAAGATGATTCTAGAATTTAAGGCTGAGTGATTATTCTTTTCTTTCATTTCAACACTAATTATTTGAGTAAATTTTCATTTAAATTAAATAAAAATCTAAATTAAAATGAGCAAATGATTGAGTAATTTATCATTTCATTAATCAACAGAATAGCATCAGTTATGGATAGAATATTTTGAATGATATACTGTAGTATACTACAACAACCGAAACCATTATTATTACAACTAATTATACCGTATCATTGATAATAAATATTTAAATAGAAATACTGATGACACCGCGTATCATTTGGTGCACTCTTTGAAATAGTATTTAAGAAAAGAGCAAAATGGGAAAAAGATAAGTAAAGAAAAAAAAATCGTAGCGTAGAGTAGAAACAAAGTATGGCAATAGAAATCTTTACTTTCTGGTAATTTAGCATAAAGTATCAATAAAATTTATATACTTTTATAATAAAAAAATAGAATAATTGTCGTTAGCATTTATGTATTAAAGAAAACCTGAATTAATTTAACTGTGATAATAACTGAAATGATTTTTAAAAAAATTAAAAGTATCAAGCATCAGTTATGTGACTTATGTGAAAATTAATTAGAAATTAAATATATGCGGTTGATCACAGATAATCCATTTTATCAAACTAACCATGAAGAGTTAGAGATGGATGGGCATGCATAAAATGAAGCAGATAATACATTTTACTTTTAGACAAGAATTTATCCATCTATCTTTATATCTACCTATCTATCCTTCTATCTGTCTATCTCTAATATGCACAAACTTTTCTTGTTTGCTTACATAGATTAATAAATGAAAGGAATAGCTGTGGGCAGTAGCTATGGCTAACAGCCCATATATTATCCCATAAGCACTGCAACTCCTCCTGTTGTTTGCAACTTACAGATAGATAAAGTGATGAGTGAATTTCTACAAATTTGCCGCTTGAAAACTTAGCGAGACAATCTCAAATGCACATTTATATTACCATTATTGTAATTGAATGTTATTTAGAATACATATATATATATA